GATCTTCTCAAGACAACTTGATAATCCCTTACTAGGTTCAACTATTAATAGTTGTTAAATTCATCGCACTCCAACTTGTGGGCCAAAAACTAGTTTCATTTAAAAGTAATGGCATCAAGCCCCTCAGGACCAGGAGATGAGCGTCCCCCTGGATCCTTAACCATTACTTATGCCCGTGTACGTGCATCATCCCCAACCAACTGGCAAAGAAAGTGTACAACCCGGCGTGGAAGGGTGTTCTTCCTTATACTCGATCCGATAATGTGCCCAGAATCTGCGTGCACCAGGGGCGTCCGTGTATGATCCGAGATCCTGGTAACGCACGCTCTTCGCCCGGTGCTCGACAGAAGGGAGAGTTAGGCCTTGGCGAGCGAGTAATATCTTTTCGGCCCTGACACCTTGTCAACGCTTAGGTTGTGAGGAGTTCCTCACACACCGCAAACCAAAGAGCATGAACCAGCAAAACAGAATGGGTCGTGCATCACGAGAACTCGCCTCACCTAGGCACTCATTCAGAAAGCAATCAATACAAGGGAATGCCAAGCACATCCGAGTTTGTGAAAATCAAGATTGGGTTGGTAATAGTGTACATCATGACAGATGGTCCTTGCTACATAAGACAACCATGGGCGTAAATCCCCAATGAGCACAGTAAAGATATCCTGTCCTTCCTATCTCCTCCGCTCAATTGATCCCGATTTACTGCCATTACTCGATTCAACGATCTAGAGGACGAAGAAAGTTCGGGCAGAAGATACCGGTCGTCTCGGTGTGTCGGGGGAAAAACCGCTTCGCCAGTAGCATTTCGTGTTTCAATCTGATTACTCACTGAAAGCCTTTTCCATCTGGGCCTTGTACTTTTCCCTAATGACTCTCCTGTTGACCTTTTGGGTGGCGGTGACGAGGCCCTGCATGCAATGTCAGTTTGGTTCCTGTACGTGCGGGCCGCTGGCGTGGGAAAACTTACACTATCCGGGGTCCACTCCTCCTCGGTCAGAACGACGCCGCCGACGATCTCGAGGCCTGTCAGACCGGCCTTCTTACCGATTGACACGAGATCCTTGTGCACGGCATCAACCATCCTCTTATCAGTGTGCATGCTGTGCTCGTCAACACCAAGCTTCTTCGCTTCTTCGGCGAGAACCTTTTCGTTGGGGGCAATGACGGCAATGGCACGAGAGTGCTCGCCGTCGCCGTAGACCATAATGTTAGCGATATAGGAGCTGCCGCGGTATACAGTTTCCAGCTTCTCCAGGGCAATGTACTCTCCGCCCTGCATCTTGACGAGGTTCTTGACGCGATCAATGACACGCACGTGACCGACGGCATCAAACTCGCCAATGTCGCCCGTCTTAAACCAGCCATCCTTGGTTATGGCCTTTTCCGTCTCCTCCGGGTTCTTGTAGTACTCTTTCAGCACGGGAAGACCCTTGATCCAGATTTCACCCTGAGGGGGGTTTGCGTCGGTGTAGTAGTTGAGGTCCGGGATGGAGACGAGCTTGAGGTCGACGGCAGCAGGGATAGAACCAATGGCGGTAGATGTGTACTCCAGAGGATCACCAAGGGCACCGTTGGCAGCCGTCTCAGTCAGACCGTAGCCTGTCAACATGGGCGCAATGGTCATGGAGAGGAAGTGCTTGGTTCCATCCGAGATACCGCTGGCGCCATTCATAATGAAGCGGAGACGGCCACCCGTCATGTCGCGCACCTTCTTAAAGACGATGTTATCGAAGATGGTTGCGCCTGGGAGTCCATACTTGACCATGAAAGTCTTGTAGTTGAAGGCGCCCCAGAAGAGGGCCTTGATTAAAGGACCGGAGCTGTTGACCTTAGCCATGATGCCCTTCTTCACCGTCTCCCAGACTTGCGGCACGCCAACCAGGGCGGTCGGCCGGAACTCGCGCATGTCACCAGCGCAGTTCTTGACCGATGTGTCGGAAAGCGTTCTCGGGTTGCCATAGCCCAAAGTGCCGCCAGCAAACAGGACGAGGTTCTCGAGAACGAGCTCGAAGATGTGAGCCAAAGGCAGGTATGCCAAGATGTAGTCTCTGTAGCTGACACATTCTTCGACGCAGGTAAAGAGGCCACTGACTGTACACGATTCGATTAGCCTCTGGTAGCCTCTAGAAGCGAGGAAAGGATGACTTACGCGCTGCCACGGTACCCTCATGAGTCATGGGCACACCCTTGGGCGGACCAGTGGAGCCAGAGGTGTACATGATGCAAAACAACTCCTCGGGGCTGGGCTCGACAGTGTCGACGGGGTTCTCCTCGCCCAAGGCGCGCACCTCCTCAATGCTGAGGAGCTTAATGTCGGGGTTCGCCTTCCTAAAAGCGTCGACCTCGGTGCCATCGGAAAAGATGGAGTTGTCGTTATACACGACAAATTTGACATTGTCGGCCTTCTTCAGAGCTCCGCTTGCCGTCTTGAGAAGCTGGGGATCGATGTACATGGCCTCAGCATTGGACTGGAGCAGCGAGTGCTCGACGCCGCTAGCGCCGAGGGTATCGTAAGCAGTGACGATTGAGATGGACTGCGAACCACAGGCGTGGGACATGGCCATCCAGTTGGCACTAGATTCCAAAAAAGTCGGGTTAGCAGCTTCTTGACGGGGATAGACGGAACCCGTCGTGGAGTGCTCGGGACGCGGGAGGATAGGAGAAGATGGTGCTCTCGGACGTACGTGGTGGTCGCAAACAGATGGACCCGGCTGCCTTTGCTCAGACCCAACTTGCGCAGGCCTGAGCCAATCTGGTTGATGTAGGTAAGGAACTCGGCGTAGGTCATATAGGAGTAATTGGACAGCTCGAAGAACTGCCACTCCTTCTCAACCTGTACGATCTCTCCGTCGACATTCTTGGGCACCTTCTTCTTCTCTTTGTGAAGGCGCACGAGCTTCCGGGAGCCCACGGCGGGTTCGTTAGGGTAAATCTGGGCGCTGCGCTTGACGACGTCGTAGACGGTGCGAATGTCGGGATGGGGTCTGGTTTTGAGGCCGTCCTTGGCCTTCCAGTGGCGGCGGGGGAGGGTTTCGCCGTCGACACGTTGGTAGCCAGGCGACTCGATGGTGTAAGGGGGTTTGTGCACCGGGTGCAGGGGCATAATACCCTTGGTCCAGTCCATTGTGGCGGTGGTGATGTAGTTTGCGGGGGAGTCTGCGAGGAACCAGCCGGTGAGAATGGCGATGGAAAGGACGAGAAGGGCGGTGATGATGGACGGAATGGTGGGAGAGTTCACGGCCTGCGAGCCCTTGAGGTCTGAGGTGCGGAAAGGACAAAGTTATCCACAAGGTTTCCGGGGTGTCAAGGTGGCAGCGTTGGAATCGTCGAGGGGCTGGATCGATAATTGACGGCGGCAGGTTTTGCAACGAGGACAGAGTTGCGAGAGTTGACGGGGGGGGGGGGGGGGGGCTTGGAGTCGTTGCTCTGCTCTCTTTTGAGGGGGTTGAAGAACTACGTGTGCGGGCAGCAGCGCAAGGTTAGCTGCGAGAAGAGTGACGGGCTTTAATTGCGTCACGGTTATGAGCTGGGACGCTGGAATGGTGCTGTATGTAGCAGGCCAACAAGGCGGTAGGCATGCGACCAGGGGCTGGTCGATCCGCCACTGGCTGGTACTCGGTAGACTACGTACGTGTTGCATGGTACATCCTTGTGTACTCCGTATTGCGGTGCTACTTAGATTAGGTAGGTAAACTACCTAGTGCAGCAGTATATCCTAACACCGAATATAGGTTTTGCTTTGGTGCAAACACATGGCTGCTTAAGGGAAGGTGGTATATACACATCATCTTGACCGATTTAGAGACCGGCATCTGTCTTTGGTACAGGTATGCTGGGGAATGCTGGCACCATATGCGTACGTGTATCCGTAGACTTCGACCAATGCCTGGCCTCCCTAGGTACCTCGGTAGGTAGGCATTGGGTACACTTGACCACGGTGACCAAGTTGACAGTCTGACAGTTTACCTCGGCCTGACGAGGCTGACAGCTTCTCCAACATGAGAAATAAATAACAGCTTGATTCCCAGTGGACCTGAACCCTCTGCATCTGCGGCCGCCAGTCAGCACCAGCTCCCATTTCCGTATCTGTACGAGCCAAGCAACCTTTAGTTTGCGGATAAAAAATGGAGAAGGGAAACTGGGGGGCCTGCTTGTGTTACCTACCTGTACCTGGCAGACCTGGGTAGGTAGGTAGGTAAGGTATCTTGGTACTTGGGTAGGTACTGCACGTCGGCAGGCATAACCCGTGTAAATTACCTACCTACCTAGGTACTGTATACCTCATCCTGGCACGGCTTCGGCGAAATGCGAGATCTCTCTCAATGACAGTGGAAGCCCTCCTTGACAATGTACTTTCGTACCTCGGTGTCACCTGGACACCCGTCGCCCATTGACCGAATACCATTGACCGAATTCCCTCTCAACAACCAAGCCTGGAGCTTCGCAAACGACCTCTCGTACTACGTATGCTGTATGCTGACAACATTGGCACCATCGACACCATTGCCCGTCACCCCCTTCCAACAGTTTCATTCCCAACACTCAACAATGCTGTCGCCCTTTGCACAGAATGCATACCTATCTATATAGGGAGGTATGTAGGTAGGCAGTTGACTTGTGCATACCAAGACTAGGAAGGTATCCGTAAACACTGTTCTGTTTACTTACTATTAGAAAGGTATGAACGCATGCGACAGCGATATCAGCCCCCATGCCGGCTTTGGTGCGCTCGGGCGGGCAAGGGACAGACCGGGATATGGAGACAGAGCGATCGGCTACGACAGCGGTTTCGGGACCATTAGCTTTAAGTCCTGCCTGCGGCTCACCCTCACTAAAGAAATAAATAAAAACCAAAAAAATAGAACAAAAAAAACCGCTTGATCCACACGCCCACATACGGATACCTATCCGTATAGAAACTCTCACCCTTAAATTACATCGTACGCCTTTGACTCGGACATGATCAGAGCCACCACCAAAACCCACTCTCACAGCAACACCGCAACCTCCATTTTGTCTCGACGATGCACCCCATCGGCCTCGCCTATCTGGGTAATATATTATCCCTTTTCCTGCACGACAGAATCACGTACAAAAAAAAAACAGTTGTTCCTCACATGCACCGACGACCGAGGCTAGAGTAAGGAAAGAGGGAAAAGAGGCTCCTCGGTCTGTACCTGCTGCCTAACTAGCTACTTAGAAAGTGCCCCACCGTGTCCACTGTGTACTATGTACTCTGTACCTACTTTGCCTTCCCGCGTCTGAATCTCCAATTCGCCCGATGTCATGTATTTTCCGTCTGCATAAGGCTTTTGGTTCATCGCACCATTTTCAACCGACCCAAACTCCTCTTACCCGTACTCCCCTTCCCATCATGCCTTCACATAAGCTAGTTTATCTAGTAGTTTGCGCCTCTGCACCTCACTGCACCTGAGGCGATTCCCACGTTGCCCGACACTGCCAGCATGTGTCACGCCGACGCCTATCAGCTCACGGCCTGCATAAATGTTCCTTTTGGGAGGAGCTATGGCCACAGTAAGCCACTCGATGGCGACCTGGACTAAACGAACGGTTCCAAAGCATCCCAGCTCTTGTTCCAGATCCATTTCTGAAGCAGGCAGAGAGAAAAAAAAAAGAAAAAGAAAAACAATAACAACAACAGACGACAATGACGATGACAGTCGGTGTGGCGTTCACACAATAAGCAAGGAACCCATAGAAACGTACCTCACCGGCAACATCTTGACCACACCACACGGCGAGAGCCCATAGTGTGTCAGTGGCCGGTCAAAGAGCAATTTATAGCAACGCTACTTTCGTCCCAATCTTACGCCCTGCGGGCCGAGCGTACAGACGGTCCCGAACAGCAGCCCGTCGCCGCAGGGGAAACGGCTGCTTAGTCGGAGTTCCAGCCCGTCACCCAAGCAAGCATACCAACCAATCCAGCTGAGAGGTTAGAGTGCCTGGGAAGCGAGAGGGGGGAGGTCGAGGATGGCAAGTAAGGCGACCAGACAGGTTGCCAGACAACGCTCTCTTCTTCTGTCTGCAGCACGCACACGTCCCGGATCACCGCCAACCGCCAGAGGTCGGGAACCACCTCTTCCAGGCATCAAGCCAGTCTCTACCACACCGTCGTGGTGCTAGAGCAAGGTGGGATCTACACTGCCATGTACGTTGGTCTGACGGCTTACACTTTTGGGCCTAAAACAGCACCGCTCGGCACTCCTTGATTCCCCCGTATCAAGGGGCCGTGGGTTTAGCCTCATCCTTTCGCAGGAGGACTGTCGCACCTTGTGAATATGCAACCTGGGCCGCGCTGCCGTGTAGGAGCACCCAACCAGAGCCCGGCCATCGTAATACCAGAGTGGACTTCCCCCATCGGACTATGGCCCCCCCTGCCCTGTGTGTCTCTCCCTTGCCGACCAATCGCACGCGTACCGCTCGATCTTGCTGCCGTTGCACAGTTCTCAAAATATACTCATGATCACCAGTGTCACAAGGTTGAAACGCCATCTCTGCAAGCCCCGAGCGTACGCCAGCATAACATGCCCCAAGAGCCGCAGCACAGAGACCCCAGAGGGCGCTCGAGTCCACCTAGCCCTGGAACCAGCCACGAAGGAAGGCGAGTGCGCACCTCCGACGTCTTGTCGGTACGGCATTGATGATATTAGATAAAGTTATGTCGCAGCTGCTCCCCCCTTCTTTCGAGACGAACTCTTGTCCTGTTTCCCGTCGTTCCAGAGTTGCTGAGAGGCACCCAACCGAACCCCCCCTGCCTCTCTGTCGTCCGCTGTGAGTAGCCATCATGCAGAGGCTGTGTGGTATGCGCCCCGAAGGGCTGGTGAGTCTCCTCCGGTTGTTCCCTTAGCCTTAACCAACGTACCGTCATGTTCCAGCTAACGCTCTCGTCCAGACGGTCCAGTCGAGGTTCAGCCCTCTACCGTCGATGTGTTTCTTCGACACAATTCTCGTCCCCTTGCCGGCGTGGATCCGTCTCGTCGTTACCTTCGCCTTGTTCCATTTCGTTGTCCGGGTCCTCATTGTCGAAAAGATCAAGCGGTACGCCGTCAAGAAGGAATGGCAGAGGCACGCCCAGCTGTCCTTCTACTACTTTTCGATCCTTGTTGTCTTCCTCATGGAGATCCTTGAAATGGCACGGCTAGTGGGGCTCCGCTTCGCCATCGGTCTGATCCCCTTTGTGTTTGCTGGCTGTGGTGTAAGCGCGGCCATGCAGGCTACCCGTGGTGCCAAGGGCCGGATACGCAACTGGCAGCCGGCCAACGTGATCTTCTGGATCATGAGCGTCGCTATCACCATCCTCAAGATCCTTACAATCCAGCGGTCCAGCATGCGCAGTCCGGAGTTCAGGCGGATGGGCTCCGACTACCCTACGACCCATCAGGTGCAGGACTTGGCCATCATCGCTGGGTTCTATTTCCTGCTCCTCGTCAACGAGATTGCGCTCATGTTCCAGAAGACTTGGGAAGAGACCGTCGATGGCGATAACATGAAGAAGCTGCGCCTTACCCGGTCGATCAGCGACCAGGCCCAGTACGACCTCACCCGCGCTATCGAGGAGGGCTACTACCCGTCCGGCGTTACTTATCTCACGCTCAGGCTGGAGGGCGAAACCGCCAGCGAAAAGGCCGCCAGCAAGGACGATATCCTCAAGAAAACTGCTAGCATGGACCCCTCCATCGCGGGATCCTCGTCCAGCGAGAAGACGGCAGGCAAGAGAACAATGGAAGAAGACAAGATCGAGCCCGTGCCCCTGATCCCGCCCAGCTTCCGGCGCAACAGCGAACGCTGGTCCTCAGCCATGACGCTCAGGGACGCCGGCGCCGAAGACAACATGAACGAAAAGATCGGCGGCAAGGACACGAAGAAGCGTGGCAGCGAGAGATGGTCTTCCACTATGACGATCAAGGAGCCTATACACCATGAAGGTCACGACAAGCGCATCTCGAGCTTCGCCACCCCCATGGTCGCTGATATTGACGAAACCACTCCCCTGGAGCACTCACCATCGACTTCATCATCTCGCTACGAAGACGAGCACGCCGCTCAGAAGAACATGCTCCTTGACAGCCCGTTCCCCATAAAAGAGCCCGCTGAGAGGCGGTCCTTCTTGCTCAAGCCTTCGCGTCCTAACACGGAACGGTGGTCCAACGCGATGACTCTCCGCGGCGAACCGTCGTCGGCGAACCAAGAACCTCCTCCCAAGGATTACGTTTCCGACATGGAGGCCCCTTCTCCCCCCAACATGCCTTCTGCGTCCGGGACGGCACCATCGACTCCGGAGCGCAAGGCCTCTCACAGCGAAAGAAATATGATGAGGCGGTGCTCTGACGCGTCGGCGAGGTCTATCAGGCGATTCTCGGGACGCAGCGACCTCCGCGAGGCGGCAGCTACCGCGGCGGCGTTCATGGAAGGTGACGCGCCGATTCCGTCACCATTCCAGTCACCGCCCCTGTCGCCAACGGAGATGCAGCCGCTGCAGCCGGAACAATACGACATCAACCACACGCATCCATGAGGCAGTGCGCACAGAAAACACCGAACCGTTTAGTTAGAGATGTTTACGATCTCCTCTATCACATCGCAAACAAATCCATTCACCATCTCTCCAACGGGCTAGGAGATGGACCATTTAGTGTATAATGCCGCCCGGGATCGTTGAAGTCAAACAACGTCCGGGAGGAGGAGTCCGGTTGGGGACGCGTCGCGCAGGGGGTTTTGTCCATTTCATCTACCGCACCCACGCGCAAAGAGAATCCCATGTTGTTTTACTTGCCTGCCCATTTCGGGTTAGAACGGAATTTAATGAGACAGAAGCGTCTTGAAAGTTTTTTTTTCCTTTTTTCCTTTGTCTCACATCTTGTACACCTCCACAGGGATTATAAACGTTAGTGCAGTGAAATGCCCCACATACAGCAGCAAGAGACAGTACTTATTTTAATATAGGAAACTACTATTAAAATTAGTACCAGTACTAGCACTAATTATGACTTCATCACTATTAACCAGCTAGCTAAAGCAACGGATACCTACGTATCGCCCACATTTTCCTCTTAACACTAACAACAACAGCAATATAGCAAATAATCTACCAACAACCCCCCCTTTAACCCTATTAATCTATTGCAATACTGACCTCTCAAAGGAGCAACGTATAGAGATACAGGCCTTTTGGAAGTATTTACACTAGAGTTAGATAAAGGATTAGATTAATAGGCACTATAATCTCCAGACCCTTACGTTAGAGGAGTTACAGGCAGTCATATAGGCAGCCTGGCTCGCAATACCTTTAGACTTCTTACAGCAATTAGCACACTCTATGCCTTACCGACTTCGTCTTGTACTTGAGAATAACGGAGGGGCAATCCAGTACTAGTACTTAAAATATAGCCTATCTTACACCTATATATAAGTATAGTTACCTGCTGATCTTACCCTCCTTCTGGTTAGTAAGTATAACACTAACGTTTATAATCCCTGTGGAGGTGTAACATAGACTACATAGGGAAGGAATCAAGCAATGGAAGGAATTTGGATAATTAGATTGTTTGCGCCCCCTGATTGCGATGTACCCGCCCTGTGCAGCGCTACGGACACCAGCCGATATTTCCCCCCGGCGGCGTCATTCTCGGCGTGGCAGGACGCGAAAGGAGGCGAAAAGATGTAAGCACTTGTGGCTGACTGTCCAAGGACAACTCTTCACCGTCCCTTGGCCGACGCCCAACCACGCTGGAAACGCTCCAATGCCACGTGTGGACTGGCTTTTGCCATGAACATTTGAGCAGGACAAGGAACCGTTGGTGCGATGAAAGTTGGTGACGGTATGGAGACGACAGAAGGAAGCTATGTCAGGAAGCAAGGAAGTGGCATTCGAGGAACCGCCCCTAGTCAAAGACGGATTGGTTGCAGGCACCCACCCATCTTCCAGTCGCCCCTCCGATGGTATGCTGCATGGTCGGTCGCCTATCGGCGCTCTCTGACTGCAGGCACCGGACGCACCGATGGATCCAGGACACCGGGCCAATGCCAGGACGTTTCTTGCGATCACTCGAGATGAGGGTATCGGCATGGCTTGCGGATGTCCCCTGTGATGCGTACGTTGTGAGCAGGTCAAGGAACCGGGTGTTCCTGGTTCCTCTATTTCCGTCCACGCAGTGTCGCGTGGGTGTGGGTGTTTGTATTCGGGCATCGACGCCAAGGTCCTTGGGGGTGCTTATTCTTCTTTTTTTTTCTTTTTTTTTCTTTTTTTTTTTTCTTTTTTGCTATTTGGCATGTCCGAGGTGCATTGCTCATTAGCGTCCTGACTGTATCGCGTCGAATCCGTCGAGGCTAACGGTGCCGTTTCCAGGTAGAGTACTACTCCGGCCCTGACTAGTTCGAGACTCATCTCAGCAACCGACCCAGTGGCCTTAGTGCTGCTTGTGTGGCTTATCCTGATACGTAATACTGCCCGGAAATCCCTCGGCTATGAGATACGAATCCTGTCGGATATGGGATCAGAATACTCGGTGTGGGTGTGGTGAATAGGCCGGTCCGCTTTCTTGATAGTAAGCACTGCGGGAAGAGACCTCCCCGCAGACACGCCCCCTGAGCAGTATGGCGTCGGTATGGGTTCGAGACCGGAATAGCCGGGGTTCAAACACGGGCTCCGGGGAGCATCCGGCGAGGGGATGCAGAGTAACGCGAGCATTACTTGACGTAGGGACTTGACGAGAAATAGCATGAGGGGAAGCCAATCCATCTAGCCTGACTTGATTATACTTCCCTGGTACATTTCCCCGGGGAAACTGCGTACGTTCTGCTAATTTGTGTGTTGATATGCCTCCTGCTCATAGAGTGAGACCGGTGGCGCTGGCCAGGTCTTCTTCCTGGTCGCGGTGCTTCACTCACGTAGACCCAACTGAGAGCCAGAACTCCGGGGGGGCCTCGCCCGCGAGAAAAAACGTTGCGACGAACCCGGGGGAAGCGATGGCGGGTTTCGGCCCGCCTCCGCCTTTTCCGGGGAACGACCGATATGTAGGGGACGACGACCCCTGATGATTACTTTCATCCGTGATGCCGGCTTCCAAGCGAGCTGCATAGCGTCTTGTACACAGTGCACAACCTTTTCCCGAGTTGTGTTATAGGCAATATCGTGGGTTAATTTTTCTTTATCCGCTTCGATTTGCTTGCTCTAACATCCCCTTCCAGAGTCGCTCCTTGACACATCGGGCTCGTGTCCGAGTATCACCTGCTTCATTGATGCGTCTTGGACCCACGGCAGTATGGAACACTCAGCCTTGGGGCCAGGTTGTCGCCAGCCGCGTGTTCTCAGTTCTCGTCCAGTGGCTGGTAACCTGGAAATTTAGCCACGGCGGAGCTGACGTGTCCAATTTCCAAAATTGCATCACGCCGTTTCTCATTCTCACTCTTGTTTGTTCAGCTGACCTTGTGATGAAGAGTCTTGATGTTGACAACAAACACCGCCACTATTGCTGCAACACACTCTTGAACATAGTTGGCCAAGGTCATGTCGAATCAAATCCATGTGTCGGGCAATCCAAACCAGCATTGGTGTCATATTTGATGCAGTTATCGTCTTCTGGTTGGTTGCCCTTCTTGAAAGACCGAGGGCTGTCGGCCCGGATAGAAAGCTATACCACTACAGGAAATGTGGCTGTGGCGCATACAAGCGCGAAACTGACATCGCGGAGGGGTGCCTTCGTTGTTCTGTGGTCATACTCGAACACGAAGCTAGTTCTGGCGGGTTGCCAAAGTTGAAGAGGTGTAGCCGCGAGCACACCTATGCCGACTCAAGGGGCGCGCTGTACTGACGGCAAAGCCCATCTGCTCTCAACAGTACACAAAAACGACAATTATTAGGCGATATGTGACTACAGATATAAAACAGATGTAAACGGGTTCGATACCAGCGGGTATAGCTGTCGAGCTGCAGACTTGGTCTGCGCTGCATCTTCCCTGTATAGAAAACCTGAGCTCCCCATATGAGGTACTACCGTATACACTGACTTAATTCACCTTTAGCTACTGCACGAGCTAACGGCAACGGGCAAAGTGGCTGCCCATCGCGCTAAGCCTAATATAGGAAGCGGTCAACCCACCCACCCATCCACCTATCCACCCACTTGCTTGCCAGCCAGCCCATCCACAGTTAACTTCGCTAACCCATTAACCCACAATATTCACAATACCTAACCGCCAGCCGCTAGGCAAAATTAACCTAAATATTACACCTATTACACCACTACTGTTACGTAAGAAAAAGGGGAAAAAACCTATGCCTATTAAGAAGTAATAATATACGCTAAAAAGCCTATTTAATAAGTTAAAAGGTTATATAACTAGCTAAAGTAAGTTAACGTACTGCTATACCTTAAGCACTACTGTTACCTACTTTTGCTTAGCTAGCTATGTTACTAACAGGCTAGTAATACCCCTCTTAACCCTACTAACAGCCTCTACTACCTAACCTTTTATAAGGCTACTAGCTACTTTAAGATACTAATTAATACTATTAAGTATTAGTATAAGCACTAGGATAATATTATTAGCCTATTAGTATATAACTATTAACTAAAGTAGCTAGTAATAAAAGCTAAACTTTATAGCTACTTTTAGTAATAATAAGCCTATAATAAGGTTATTACTACTAGATAGTTTAAGTAGGAGGCCTAAGCCCTTTTTAATACTAATTATCTTAGTACTATTATATTTAGTAACCCCTCTACTTATCTCTTCTAATTCTCTATAGGCTAGTTTATTAGCTTCCTTATATAATAGGGTATCTTATACTACTAGCTTATAAAGTAAGCCTTAAAGCTGCCTACTAAATACCTTACTATTATTACTAACTTTTTCTACTTTAACAGATAGGTTAATTAACTTTTATTAGCCTAGTAGTAACTACCTATTAGTGGCCTCTAATTTCTTTTTAACTATATTATTAACTTTAATAAGACCTTTATACCTTTTAAATACCTTAATAGATTAACTTAGGCAGCCTAAGGGGCCTGTACTATAGCTAGTAAAAGTAACTATAGTAGCTAGAGTAAGTAATAAGCTACCTTAATCCTTTATATCTTTACTAATAGGATTTAATAGCTACTACCTAAGTTAATTTTTTATAGTAGGCCTACTAATATAAGTAGCTAGCTTAAGGTATATAAAAGTAACTTATATAGTAATAAAGTAATAGTTAAGTATAATAATATAGCTTATAATAATAAATACCTTCTTAGGTAGTAGTTAACTAATAAATTTTTCCCCCTTACTAGTAAGTAAGAATACCTCTTAGTTATAGACGTTACTACCTTTTATAAAACCCCTACTATACTATTATAACTTCAATCTTATTATATTACGCCTAGCCTTATACTACTTAGTATAACCTCTCTCCTTTAACCTCTAGATACTACTATTAATAAGCTTTTTAAGTAGTAGTTATCTAAAGTAATAAATAAGTATATATAGTAAAAAGAGTAAGCAGCCTATTAGCCTAGTAAGCCCCTTTAGCTAATTTAACCTATTAAGTAGTCTATATTAATAAAATATATTATAGTTACTTATACTATTATAATAGCTACCTATTACCTATCTAAAAGGGGTAATATAGTCTAGTAATCTTTTCTTTAGTATAAGATTAGTATAAATCTAGATAGGAGTAATATTAATAAGATTTAGATTAAGGACATACTAAATAAGAAGATATTATAAGATAGTTAGGATAACTTTAACTATAACGCCTATATAAAAAAGGAAATAAAAGAAATTAATAAAAAAAAAATAACTAACGTTAATATAAATAACAACTACTAAGAGTATATATCTCTAGCTAAAGACGTCCAGTAAGCCATTAGAAATAGTTTATTAAGGCTATAGGAAATCTAGAGCCAACAGGAGGTGGGAGGGAGGGAGGGAGGAAATCTAATGCCAACCATAAGTCAATTTGCTAGCCCTTACCACCTAACTTGCTGCTAACGTACATAACTAACCCCTGCTTTTACTACTTCCAGATCCCTGTTTCTGCCAGCACACTATACCCTTTATAGTGGCCGCAATACCCGTTGCCGTTAGCTCGTGCAGTAGCTAAAGGTGAAATAAGTCAGTGTATACGGTACACCCACAACCCAGCCCCCTTTTTTGCCCCTCTTGAGTTTGGCTCCATTACAAATGGGTATTTACAAGGCTATGATGGCAGCACCAACGCAGCCGCTGGCAATCAGGTACGCGCCGATGGCGAACCCTCCGAGGTTGAAAACGGGCTGGTGGGGGCCAGCAGCAGCGTTGCCAGTAGAGCTCGAGCTGGGTCTGGCGGTGGAAGAGGCTGAGGTGGTGTCGGCGACAGAGGCGAGGGCCTTCTTGCAGGTATCATCGGCGGAAGGGCTGACTATTTCACCCTGGCCTTCATAATCGCAGGCAGCGCGGGTGGATCTCTGAGCCTTGTAGTAGTCGTTCATAACATAGGCGAACTTCTGCTCATCAGAGCACATAGAAAATGCCCCGTAGACGCCGGTGGAGGGATCTGTGTTGATGCCTTCGCAGGAGTCTGACGAAGCGCCGCAGACATAGCCGAAAATATCGCCAATAGCCTCGGCCTCCAGGTTTGACTTGGGAATACATGAGAGACTCTTGACCATGCACTCGCAGAGATACTTATCTGGAGTAGGAGGTAGAGTGTCTCCCTGAACCTCCCAGTTAGAGGCGGTGTTGGAGCACTCGGCGGGGGTATTGCTTGGTTCGTAGGAATCCATCTGGATGGCAGTGGGGTTGGCATTCAGAACACGAGATGCAAGCTCGTAGTAATTCTTCATCGCTTCCGCCTGGCCGTCCTTGATCTCAACAAGACCTGGAAACGCATCAGTACAGGGTTCAGGGTCACTAAGACGCAGTAGGAGACAGGAGACATACCAAAGTCGTTGGCCTCCTGATGGTACATATACACAATGCCACCGGAGAAGGCGTCGGTCATCTCCCTTTCGTATAGAGCAGTTGTTTCCTGGAAGATGCGATCATCACCCCCGCTGGGCTGGTTGCATCCATACTCGGCAAAGAAAACAGGAACAGAGTAATTCTTAAAAAATCAATCTGCTTGTCAAAGCCAGCGCCTACAAGCGTATTCTCGCCACACCACGAGTAAATATTATAGCCCCAGAAATCTATGGCGGCATCCTGATCCCCACAGTTGAAATAACGGGCAGAATTGGCGCGGATGTCCTTGTCGTCGTTGGCAGCGTAACCAACACCCATCCAGCGGTACCCCTTTTCCTTGATATGCTTCTTGGCGTCGCGGACAGCGGCCTTTACAAATACGGAGGCTTCCGTATTGCTCTTGTCGTTCGAGACCTCATTACCAGCGAAGAAGCCGATGGTATTATCATACTGTGCGAGAGCATCGATTACGGAGGTGTAGCGATCGTATAGTTCAGTATTCCATTGAGGGGTTTCTCGGTTGATTGATAATTTGGGCTCACCCAAATCGGACACAACATAGATACCGGCGTCACTGAGCATCTCCATACAGGCGCTATGGTCGTTCTTGGGATCGATGGCGTAGGTACGGATGGTATTGGTCCCAGCTTCGACCAGAATTGGAATATCGTGTCTGCAAGCCGCCTCCTCGGCCAAGGGATCTTTGTACTCGCCCGTGACGGACTCTCCACCGGCCGCGGCGGTGTCCTGTTGATAGGCGATACCTTTCATGAAGAACTGGGTTCCGTTTGTGTAGAAGAATTTAGTGCCCTAAAAGATCATTAGAGATTCCGGAAATTGCGGCAGGGCCAAAAGTTCGTCCGGAGCTGGCTAGTGCCGATATTATACCTTCATGATGATGGGTTCGAGGGCGCTGGCATTGTGAGCAAGCACAAGGGCCGACAAGGCGGCAACCCAAAGCTTCCCCATGTTGAAGTTCGATTTCGTGATGCTCGATACAAATTGGGCCTTTCACGTTGCAGAAGCCGCTAAGTGTGTTGACAGTGCTGAGGAGAGCGACGTCTGAGGTGTGTTGCCCTTGAGGCGCCCAACTCTCTATGATGAGGGTTCGGTGGATGTCGCTTCTCTTCTTAGACAAATGTGACAACAAAATAGAGAAGAAGAAAAAAAGCGGGGGGAAGAAGTGGAAGCATGATGAGCGAGAGCAAGTTAATAGGTGCAGTGAGCAAGATACCGAAGATGACTGCAGCCTAATTAAATGGATAATATCACTGCAGGAACCCGCCAAGAGCTGATACGAATATTGCTGGATAGCAATTGCTGACATGGGTGGGCGGGTTGAGGCACAGCATCCAAATGGGAATAGCCTCGTCGAGTTCACTAAGGTGACAAAAGAACTTTGGCAGACAAGGTACGGAAACTTGAGAAAGGATGCAGGGGCCGTTTTTTTTATACCTGCTGTTCCGCTCATCCCAACTGGGCAACTGTCCCCTTCTCCTTCCGAATTAAGCTTAATTATGTTTGCCCGTCACGACTGTGCCGCCGATAGCCTGGTGAACCAGGACCAGGGGTTGTCAGTCTCCATTCTGAGTAGGTGTACGGGGAATTTTCTGTTTATAGGTAAGAGTCAACAATATGTGCAGCCACATAATGCGCGATACCTCCGAGTCCTCGTCAACGCCCGGCGAAACGACCCGGGGTTGTCCCACCCGTGTACAGCCGGGTGCTCTCTACCGCTCCGAAACCGAACTACAACTGCCAGGGCCGAATGGTTGACAAGTGTGTTGCCGCCATCGAAAGAGGTAGAAACGAGGATAAGAGTATTCTGTGCAGTTGGCCGAGGATGGAAAAGATATATGAGGTTTTGCGTCGAGTCGCAGGATGCTAGTGGCGGGCCAGTATCAAGGGAAGAATGCATGAAATCCTGTCATTCTCAAGCCGAGCGGGCGCCTCAAGTGACTGGCCCTGAAACCACAGCGGCTGCGCCTGCCATATGCGCTCAAGTTTCCCAGTGGAATGAGTGCTGGAAAGGATCTTTGATTCCCTGTGGATCGTAGAGGGTCTGCATCTCCGGTGCTTAGCTTGGAATCTGTGTGGGTAGATGCTTGCTTTTCTTTTCCCTTTGTGTAGATGTATGGCTTACACGGACGGGGGATACCAGGAAGAGAGAGAAAAGGCCGAGCAGGAGACATGATCCAAGTAGGTAGCTCACAATCTCCGCCTGACATCTCGCAGAACACGCCCCTGATTCCAATCCCGAGATGCCTTCGTCCCCCACAACGCATTTGAAGCCGATGCTCCTTTCAGGCTGGCACAGTCAAGATCCCACAAAAGATACGATGACAACGTGCTCAAGCAACGTGCAGAACACACAACTCTTCATTGAATGGTACTATGCTTGTCATGGCCTCGTAGCGAATCCATTCCGCGAAAAAGAGAGATGAAAGAGTCAGCTAGACCAAAATAAACAAAGTAAGCCCGACGCATAACGGGGCTTAGGAACCCCCCCAGACGCCATGCTTGGAAGCGCTCGAAAACACAACCCGCAATAAAACCATACATTCCATGACGTTTTCATGCTTCGCGAAATCCCGCCCCCGCAACATCGTTCCACTCTATGTATAAAACTGAGAACTCTCTTTCGACAGTCCAGAATGTCAGCGCCTGCCATGTACATATACCCTCTAACCACCTTTTGCAGTGCACAACCACTTCGACCAGAAACGGCACATCACCTCGCCGATTGGCTACCCTTTCGGCGGAAGAAAACCATGTACGGGACCTCGCCGCTATTCTTGAAGACCTTTTCACTGTAATCGTTGGACCGCCCCGTTCCGTCGATCCTGATGCTGGTCACCTGGGAGTCGTTGATCTTGTACCAAGCGGTGGGGTCAGGGTTGTGTGTGTCTCGGGCATAAGTGTAGTAGTGGCCGGAATTGATGTTCGGGCCCGAGTGGATAATGACTGCGTAACACTCGTAGTCAAATGGAAGTTCAAACTTGTCGTCCGGTGCAGGTCCCGCGGTACGCTCTTCTACTGGGATGAAGAACTGGTCGACGTTGAAGCTGTTGAAGTCCCAGGTGACCCTGCTCAGATCCTTTTTCACTGTTCCGTAGTTATCAACCGTGAACCGCTTCAAGCATAGACAAAAGAGTTCTGGCATTCGCGCCAGCCTAGCCTGTTTCCTGCCGAGCCCCTTCGTGTTGCAACTGTCGCATTGGTAGTCGGAGATATTTTCAGGCTCGAGGTGGGCTCTGAGGCAGTCCTCGAGTGTACGCGTCTCCCGGTTGACAGGTATCGACAGGAAGTCAAACGTGTCCCAGGTGTATGTGCGGTTCTTGCACTGTGCACATACGACAGTCGAAAGTTCTATGCCACGCCAGTATTTATCGACGATGGACGCGTTCTTCTTTTGATATTGCGCCCACCATTCGTAAGCGCCCTGAAGCATCGACTTGCCACTCATTGACGGCGCAGGTGTTTCAGGGCTGCTGCGGTCGCGTCGTACGTTCGTTTCGTCGTGGAGATATGCCATGAGCCATGAGATGAACTCATGAGCATCTTGTTGGCGACCGCCACCAAACTCATCGCCCCTATCCTTGTGCCGGCTCTTCTCACATACTGATCGAGAGTAGTCCTGGCAATGGTTAGCAACTGCATGCAGATGGCAAGAGATAGGAAGACTGACCATGAGTGTCTGCGCCTTCATGACGTCAAACTTGCCAGAGTCCAACCAATGGAACAAGTTGGACAAGATTCGTGACATCAACTGAGGATGGTCGTTCTTCTCGTCGGCCTTTTTTGGCACCTTGTACATGTTTTGCCACTCAAACGTGGCCATGTCCTTTCCGAACCCGGGTGACATTCGAAGAGCTTGTATAGAGCTGTTCGCATAGCACCATACGCCTGGGTTGTTTAGGCCTGTGATCCGCAGACCGTCCTTGCCAACGTTTGTGACTGAAGGGGAATCTGGCCGGGCCAAGGGGCCCTGCTTCGCGTTCCGCGACTGTGCAGAGAAGGCAATAGCACCAGGTTCCTCATGGTCATCCTGGGTCTGTGACAGGCCGCTGTAACTTGTACGCGGGACAGCCGGGGCAGGCCGAGTAGGTGGTGACGGCAGGTCCGAGTAGAGGTCAACCTGGTTTTGAGGATAGCCGTAAGTCGGCTGCTCCGAGCTGATAGGTGACTGCATGGATTCTTGTTCGGTCGATACCGCAGGGAACCTGCGTAGGAACTCCTCCGTACTGCGCACGTGCATGAAGCCGGGTGACCGTGCAGTCTCGAGCTCGGCATTCTGCAGTGTCTCCTCCCAGAGCTTGACTTCTTCGGGCCTCAGCGGTGTGACCTTGTATTTCCTGGTCGGCTTAGAGATTGAGATGGTTGGCCTCAAAGATGAACGAGCCATAGGCGCTCGCGCGGTGCCTGCGGTCTGCGAGGTCGCGAGGGCGCCCCTACCCATCAAATCAGTCCAAGCATCCAAACCACCCTGAAGCAGCTTGGGAGGGTTCTTGAGCTCTTTTCCGTAGTTGAAGTATGTCAGGGCGCGTTGCAAAGATAGCAATGCGGCAGCATCCATGTCAGGTGAAATGTACCTGGGGATGGAGTCTGAGTCCTGGTCATGAAAAACCACGAGGTCGAAGGCGTCCCTCATTTCGAAGTGGTGGTGCTCCTGGGGAGGCGAGAGAACCATGCTCTCGGCTATTTGTTCCGACGTAATGTTCTCACGCAGCAGAATGCTGGGCTCAATGCAGATGACGGCCTGTGATAGGATGTGGCCCTCGTCGAAGTCATCCCGGCTTCGGACGTCAATGATCAAGACTTGCAGGGCCGCCGAGCCCCTTTTTATGTAATTCAGCAGATCTTCAGCCGTAATAGAGTCGCCTTCGGGTATCGTAATACTGAGGGCTCTGGAAGCGATAGCCGCGGCATTGGAGGCTGAGTGAGAGGAAGTGAAGTATTCGGAAGACTTGTTGGTACTGTTGTTAGCAAGAGCGGTGTTGATGGTAGCGGAAGAGCCGGTCCTGCTGAACAACCCTCGTGGCGTACTTGATGGTAATGAAGCCGCTTCATTGGACACGGTCCCTCTAGCTGGGCTGTAGATGGGATCTGGCATCTTGGGCAGATCCGGCAGCCTGGTCACTATGCCCACTCTCGGTTTCTCGGGCGACTCGGGCATCGCCCTAGGCCCTGCCGGTCTGGGAGGCATAATGGGATGTGTTCGTATGCGTGGATCCTGGCCGGGTAACGCAACAGGGCCTCGCAGGTTGGCGAAGCGGGCGGCCAAGTCCTCTGCGGCCTTGCTCTTGGGAAGAACAGGACCTCCAGTGCCAGACCGTAAAGCGTTTCCATGCAGTGACACGGGCTTTGGTTGGACAGCGGGCTTTGCCTTGGCTGCCGGCGACCCATTCATTTGAGAACCGACCTCGGGTCGGGTGGGACTCGTTACTGGCGGGCTCCGGGGCGTCTGCGGCCGGGTGACTTCTCCATTAGTGATGGAAGACGGCCTCGACGAAGCGGGCCTGACGCCGGTCCTACGGTTATCGGCGATGATGTCGGCCTTGATCTTTTCAAAGTTCCCATGGTGGGAGTCGATCTTCTTCATCAGAGCGGTATATATGCGATTCAAGTCGCCGCGGCCGCCCCTGAGGGAGACGGACTCTGTGTGCAAAGGCACGTATTTGACTGCGATCAAGGAAGCCTTAATGTACTCCTTGAAGGCCATGTCGGGTCGACCGAAGTCGCGGAAGGTCTCGGCTTGTCGCATGGCATTGTCGCCCATCTCGAGGATCTTGCGCAAGGGGAGGTTCATGTCGATATTGGGAACGGTAGAGGTGAGGTCGTCTATATGTGGCAGCGGGGGCCTAGCGCCACGGCCGGCAGAAGGCCCATCTCTGTCCATGGCGAAGGAGTGCAGTCCGGAGCCGTTGGATAAGGCCGGACCGCCGCCAGCGCCACCAAGGACGGTTCTGGTGGCCGAGGAGGCCGTGGAGCTCATGTGGAGGAGAAAGGACGTGTCGAAGTGTGGGTTAGAGCTTGAATCATGTCGTTGCGAGCTTGGTGACTCGGGGACAGGAAAAGAGGGCTGTAGCTGGTGGTGTCGAGGAGATGGAATATTCGGAATCGTCGCTGTACGTAGGACGGGAGGCGGACGCGACAGTCGGCGGCGGGTTCGTCATGAGTGGCAGACAAGGGAACCGGCTACTCTTGTAGGGTGTCAGGATGGAGCAGCGGGTTCGTTATGTCGGTGCTGCAGGGCGGGCTGGAACAGTCATGTTTCCTTTGAACCGAGTCGAGGGTCGAAAAAAGGGCGCGGTGTAGAATGGGCAAACGGGAAGAATGGCCTTCTTTGACAACGATGTACAACACAGTGGCGGCGGCGGCGGTCCTGTGAAAGACAGATGGCCCGTGGTGGAGGGAGGGACAGCCTCATCCACTGGCGCTAACAGTTTCAACAATAGCAAGCAAGACATTGCGGAGAGAAAACGGCGGCGGTATTTTGGGGGGGGGGGGGCGAGTCGGTATCTTATCCGACAGGACCCGTACTTCTTGGCCTGGGGGATAGAGCGTTAGGTACCTACCCAGGCACCTCACTATCGGTAGGTATACCTGTATGCCCACTATAAGAACAGCTCTCTGGGTGCAGTGTTCCTTGGTCCATAGCTACAATTTGCTAGCCCAAAGCAAAATTTATCGTGTGAGCTTTGCAGAGAGAATACGTGCTGCCTTGCTTGAGTAATCAACCATGGAAAGTCATTTTGCGATATCCGATATGCCAAAAGATACGTACCTATCTATGCAGGCATCTTGATTCAACCTAACTTGTCAAGAAGTGCCTCACTATGGGCCACCTGGCGGGCAGATGCGTCACACGTGATCCACTTAAGCGCTTCCCAGCTTCGTCATCTCTGGGGAACCCGTCCAAGGTATCCGTACTGTACGGATAGGTAGGTTGACGGGTACCGTCCGCACTCATCAGTTTCGTAAACCACTAGCAGGCAGGCTAGCTAGATATAGCTAGGGAATTACTAATAGAGGCTAGTAGATATCCACTACGCTAAGCCTAAATTAGAAGGCGGTTAACTCACACCTATCCACCTATCTACCTATCTACCTACTTGCTTGCTAGCCAGCCAGCCAGCCTATCTATAGTTAACTTTACTAATCTATTAACTTACTATAATATTTATAATGCCTAACTGCTAGCCGCTAGGCGAAATTAACCTAAATATTACACCTATTATACTACTACTGTTATATAAGAAAAAAGGCAAGAAGGTAATACTTATTACTAAGCGATTATTACACTTTAGGTGCTAGAAAATAAGATATAAAATTTAATACCTTCCTTTACCTAAAGTAGAGGACTATTTTCCTTAAAATATATAGGGAATTTCCTTAACTAATACTTTACTAATTAGCGTAATAATTCTCTAATAATAGCAGGATAATTATCTAGTAATTCCTAGATAATTATTAGCCCTTTAGTAGGGAATTATTAGCTAATTATTTACCTTTTAGTTAGTAAATAGCTAGTATAATCTATAGCTATTAGCTTAACTAAGTAATAGTAAATTAGCTAAGGAATAGATATTTTATTACGTAATAATTATCTATATATAAATTACTTTTTATCTTAAAATATATAATAATTTATAAGTAATAAATATAAAATAGTAGTATATAATAAACGTTTAATAACTAACTTTTTTTATACTAAGCTATTATTATTTATTTTTTTAATTTACTATATATATAACTATATTATTACCTAAATAATTCTTTAATATATATTATATATAAGAGAATTTATTATATACTCTCTACTTAATTACGTTATTATCTAGTAATTAAGGGGCTTTTATACTTATAATAGTATTAAAGTCTATAGGAGTTATAAATAGCTCTAAAAGCTATTTCTTATTCTTACTATAAATATCCTAGCGTATAGTATTATTTAGGAACTAAATATACTCCTAACTATAGTGCTTAGTATAGTATAGGCTAGTACTTATATAGGTAATAAGGTTAGCCTAGCTACCTTTATTAGTAGTTTTATCTAATAAGCGTTTATAAAGGGAGTTACTAGCTACTAAATACTATAGTAGCTAGCCTTATATACTATTAATATACTATATTTTACTAACTAGGTAATAGTAATCTAGAAGCTAGAATAATACCTTAAGAGTTAGCTTTTTATAGACCTAGTCCTTAGCTAGGTTATTATTAATCTAAATAACTAGGCCTTTAGCTACTATCTTTAAGAAGACTATAAAATATCTATTAAGGAAAACTAAGTAGTAGTTATTAGTACTTATACTATATTTAAAGTATATAGCCTTAAGGTATTTAGTGCGCTTAGCTAGGTTATTAACTACTACTTTATAAAAAAGTAAGAGGCTAAACTAAGTATTAGTTATAAGCTACTTATTTACTAGCTAATTATTAGCTTTATTAAGTAATATAGTAAATAATTATTACTTAAGTTTATAGTTTAATATATAAATAGATAGTAAAATATCTTTTTTACTTTTAGTAAGTATTTAAGTAGCTTATTTTTCTATAGTTTATAGCTTATTAGCTAAAGATTAATAAAGAGTTTAAATATATTAGTTAAGTTTTTTTATAGTATTAAGTATAAAATTAGCTAGGTATTTTATAGTATTAACTATAATTTTAATAGTAAATTATCTTAACTTAACCTCTTTAATAGCTTAGTAAAATCTATATATTATATTAAAGGCTTTATTAATATTAAAAGAATATATATTATTTTCTTAGTTAATTATAATAAGAGTATTAGCTAGTATTTTAGTAATTATAAGTATATTATCTATATATTAACTTTATTATTCTTAAATAGTAAGTAAATTAGCTACTACTTAGGCTTACTTAAGGATAATAATCTTTTACTTAAGCTCTATAAGCTTATTAGTAGGGGCGTTTTAATTATTTTAATACTTTTAAGGCGTAATAAATTAGCCTAAAAAGTTATATTAAGTAGATATATTAGTAGTTTATTTAGGTATTTCTTTAGTAATTATTTTATTATCCTTATTATTACTTACTTTTACTTTAATATCCTTAATAATTTTATAAGGTGTCTACTTATCTTAGTATGTAGCCTAGTTCTCTTAGTATAAGTAGGTGTTTTAGGATTTTAAGTAATTAAGCTAAGAGTTTATAGTAAAAATCTCCTAAGTAACCTTAATGTCTTTAGTAAAAAAGAATTTATTAACGTTAGTAAAGATAATAAAGTTTAAGAAGTTTTTAGTAGGGTTTAAGATACTAATACGCTTAGCTTTATTTTAGAATTATTTAATAAAATATAGCTATTTCTTCTTAAGGGTAGTAAATTTTTAGTAAATACTTATATAAATAGAGTTCTTTAGATATTTATTACTACTATAGATAGTAATAGCTTAAAAGTAGCTATAAAATATAAGGCTAGTGTTAGTTTTTTTACTACTAAATACTTTATAGAAGTACTTTTAGTGCTTATAATTATTAAATAGATTAATATTTATAAGGTTAAAGATAATATAAAATCTTATAGTAAAAAAACAAATAAGTAGGAAATAACTAGCGTTTCTATACTATTATATATAAATTAGCTAGCTAGTTAATAGTAAATATATAAATACTTAACTAAGAATATAAAGAGAATTTATAAAATAAAAATAATATAAATAAGGAGAATAGTAAAAGAAAAAGAATTTATATAAAAAGAAAAATAACTATATAATAGTTACTTTAAGTAACTAGTTATTTTTTTCTTATTAATAAGTAAAGTCTAGATTTATTTATTATTAGTTATATAATTTTAATATTTATTATAAATAGTATAGCTATTTACTAGGATTTTATAGTTTACTACCTACCTTTTTATAGTTAATTTACTAAGTATACTTTATTAGTCTGCTTGTTTTTTATAAATTATTAACCTAATAGTTATTAGCTTCTTTTTAGCTATTTCCTAGAGAATTATCTAGCCTTTTATAAGGAATTATCCTATTTATACTCTAGGAATTTTTCTTTTATCTAATAATTTCTCTTAATACTAGTTAGTTATATTATTTTATTACTTACTTTTTTTTTAAAAGTGCTTATTATTAATTTACTTATTATTAATAGGCTTCTTTAAATTCTTTAATTAAGTTATTAGCCTTTATAGTACTTATATCTATCTAGGTGTTATATAGGCTAAAGTATTCTTTCTCTTTAATAAGGTACTAGGTCTATAGCTTTCTTTATCCTTACTTAGTAATTTATTTCTTAAGAATTTATTTAACCTTATAGTGTTAGTATTTATCTTACTAATTTTCTTTATATAGGTTATTTATTTTTACTAGGCTACTATAAATAGAAGTTTATTTATATAGGTCTAATTATAGGTCTTTAGCTAGAATTATATATATAACTAGTACTACTAAGTAGATATTTATTATTAAAAGTAACTTAAGTCTATATACTAGCTTCTTTACTTTATTTAAGACTTTTATTAGCTTAGTATATAAAGGTAAGGTCTTTACTAATAGGTTTCTTAATAAATACTATCCTTAGCTAAGTTTTAAGTAAATAAAATCTCTTAGTATAAATAAAATATACTAGTACTTATAGTTAAATACTTCTTTTATATATATTTATACTACTATAATTAAAAGTTTTACTTCTTTTTAAAGTATTTCTTAGTTAATAATTATATTTAAGTTACTAAAAAGATCTAAGGATTTATTTATTTTAAAGCTATATAGTATTTTATATAGGGAGGCTTTTACTATGCTTATATATACGTTATTTAAGAAGTTTTAGAGGCTAATTACTATATTTACTTATTTTTTCTCTAGAAAAGTGTATATAAAAGCTTAAACTACTATTTCTATAGTTTAGTTTTTTTATTCTAAAAGGCTATTTATTTAAAGGTAGTATATAGTTAAGAACTTTAGTTTTATATCTATTTCTTTTTATAAGGTCTACTAGAAATCTAAAAGAAATTTT